CACAAACCCTAAGGCTAACCTCACAGGTACCTACTAAACTCAATTCACACCTTGGTCCTAAACCCAACCCCCAACCCACCAATGGCATTTAAACCAAATGGGGACTCGACTTTTGTCCCCAAATGCACCAGTTGTCCCCAAATGTAGGATTTTTGTCTTAAAATTGCCCCCAAATGTCACCAGAAACCCCCCCCCCCCCACACACACACAGATCAGTCATGTCTGACTAATTCTAAAAGTCCTCACTGCTTAATTCATTTAATGAGACAAGACCCTGTGGTTCCCAAACTAGACCCCCTCCTCTCCACGACCACACCTTGAGATCCTGTCCATAAAGACCACAAACAGGATCGGAGACGAGGGACCGCCATAGAAGATTCCAACCTGCACAGAGAATGAGCTCCACTAAATAAATGTTTTTTTTTAATAAATCTTATAAAGATAGTCAAAGAACTTGTAGAAGGAGACAGCGTGGAGACACAGGCGACAAACCGTGGCCGCCTTTTTATGAAAACTTCTCCGATAGATTTAAAAAATTTGTGTTTTTTTCTTCATGTAGCAACAAACAGTGGTGGGCACAGCTAACCAAACAGCTAGGTTAACACTAATCCTCTAATCAAGAATCTTAGCTCCTCTAATGCTAAACAGATTTAAAATGAGCAAATTCACTAAATGAGAAGCTAGTTTCTGTATTAGCAGCCTAGTTGAACTGTGCCCACCACTGGCAATAGAAAAATGAAATCCTCCTCCTCCAACTCCTCCGTCTTCAATATAAACTATACATCCTCCTCTGAAAACCGAGCTGTTGTTTCTGTCAGCGTGAAATGTTTGGGTAAACAGGGACAGCGAGAACAGAAGGTCTTATGTCTCAGGAAGTACGTAGCTCAGAGAGACATTGGATGAAAGAAGTTTTAATGTATGAGACAGAAGAGTAACAAGGGTTTTTCAATGAATTAGCACCCTTAATTAGGAAGCTTTTTTTTTTCATAAAATCAGTAAGATTTACAGCCTTTGTTGGAGCTAAAGTTCCTGTGACATGCATATACTCCAAGCACAAAAAATATAAAAAACATTTATATTTAAGATACGTGGCATCACATACACAAATTTGACCCATTTTTTCACATAACTTCAGATTTTCTTTTGAAACTGGCTCAGCCAAAGTGAAACAGGAAGTGACATCAAAGGGAAACTTTTTTTAAAAAAGGAACTCCCCGGTCTTTGTTTATTTTGTTTATTGTAACAATATTATTTGAACTCTGACTCTTCTTCATCACTGATAGACTGAAAGTAATCTTTAAAAACATCAGATTCTTCTCTACAGTCTGTTGTTAGTTATTGTAGCAACTCTCTGTTTACATTCAGACATTCCGCTCTGACATCACTTCCTGTTACTGAACATGTGAATATTTCAACAACTGTTCATCTCAGCTGCATGAAATTTGCGTTGCAATATGTTATCAATGTTATCTTTCCAAAAATGTATTCTTATTTTTTACAAAAAAATGATGTCACAGACACTTTAAAGTGCAAACAGTCATTTATTTTCAGGTCCCTTCTAAGAACTGCTTTGCTACCCAACTTCCTGATCCCCTTGGATTAAAGCAATACTAAAATCCTATTCTTCGATTAGTCGTTAGATATGTTAGGATGACATGGGGTGCCATTTATAAACTTACACAGTCAAAAATTACCACCAATATTTTTGTTTTATTTAGCCTTTTATAAGAAAAAAAGAACAGATTTATTTTTCAAAGTCAGTTTTCACCATATGATTTATATATTTATAAATGTCATAGTTTATAAACTAACTATTTAATTCACAAATTAAATATTTAGTTAACAAGCTAAATATTTACTTGTGACTTAAATATTTAGTTTTGACCTAAATATTAAGGTAGCTAGCTAAATATTTAACTTGCTAGCTAAATATTTAAGTTGCAAGCTAAATATTTAAGTTGCAAGCTAAATATTTAACTTGCTAGCTAAATATTTAAGTTGTAAGCTAAAT